GAGTTAAAAAAAAATCATCCATGTAACGACGTAACAATGCTCTAAAAGAATCTTGACTTTATGTAAAAAGCGCTGTCCCAAACGAGCCATGTACTTGGATACGCTTTTGGTTATCGAAAAATCCCCATCCATACTCGTATAGTATCAGCATTATTTCCTTCATCGTCTTCCGCATACATCCACACACTACGATCTCTGATTTTAGAATTTGACCATGCCAAAAATTTGAAATGTCTTGCGCATATTTTATTCCTTCAATCATAGGCATTGTAACTGTAAATTCCAATAATGCATCATCACTGTAATTTGCTGATATACTCAATTTTCTACCATCGTTGCCTCGAAAACATACTCGGAGTGCATAATCTATATCAAAATTCTGTTACTGAGTTGAAATTCGGAAGGATAAAACAAAGTTGTTGTTGGAGTCAAAACTACCATCCGAATCAATTTGGCATCAGAAGACATTGTATATTCATTATCTTTTACACAAACTTGATGTTCTGTTTGACAATACCGACTATCTACATCAATTCGATTGCACGTGGATAGTGGCAGAGTACACCACGTTCTTGCAAATCTAATATATACTCCAAAGCTTTCTCTAAGTAAATTGGATTTTCGTTGCGTCGTTGTTCTGTCTGATTAATGAAAGTTTTCTAATTTCCTCTAGTTTGTTCTTGTAAGATAAAATTTCTAATACGTATAGAGTACAGGTTGTAACTGCAATCGAAATTAATTAAATCAAACTTGGGTAATGGCAAATATTTTACAGTAACCAATTGTAAGCAGCCATAGTGAATAGGCATTGCGTTATTACACGAGTGAAATCTGCTATTTCTTTAGCAAATTCTACATTTTGGATTCGTAACATCAAGACTGTTGATTTGCCATGCAAATCAACAGTCTTCGATTATGTCGACAGAGACAAGACTGTTGATTTGCCATGCAAATCAACAGTCTTGTCTCTGTCGACATAATCGAAGGTTGGAATTCTGCCCCTAGAATACTCAATGAAAAGATATTTAACTTCTAAGAAAAGTAAAGCAAAGTCTTTCTTTATATTTAAAATAATTCTCTTTACGGAAGAATATTTTATTTTTAATAAATTACCGTTCTCATCGTAAATACTTCTTTTGTGTTTCATTTGTAACGTTCGTAAGTCATGATAAAAACTTCCCGAAAATATTCCTTTTATGTATCTGTGTAGTTTGTCAGCAGAGAGTTCCGTAGTAAAACATTTTTACTTCGATGTTATCTTGAACAGCAATTTTAGTTGGATGAAAACATTCAGGGATTGTGAAAGTTAACCAGCATTTTGCATTCATCCCACACCAATATCTTACTGAAATATCTATTTCGGCATATAGATCGGCAAGTAACGGTTATTTCTGCATTCTACTTTAATCTCGTATTCGTCAAATATAAGCTTATCGTCAATTCTTTCTGTCTTTTTCCTTCAATCCAAACGTACTACAGAAAAACCCCACTCGTGGAGATAATTCTGTAATTTCTGTCTAAAGTTTCTGGAAGTCGAATAATCGACTATTGTGATGATTCGTAACTGTAGTCGCATTTTGGGTTATCTGAAATATTAATAACATCCATTATTAATATTCCATAATATTATTGTAATATTATAAATATATTATTAATATAGAATATGCATAATATGTCTTAAATATATTAAAATAAATAATCAACATTAAGAAAGATCGTTATATTCATGTTATTAGAGCACTAATATATACAACCGACACGATAACTATCGGTAATTGAGCTGCAATTTTCAAATTGCAGACCTATAAGTTCCCACTGTCTCCGTGGCTGACTGTCCTTCGTTAATTTCCAGAACGGAATCAGACAAAAATGGAGACCAGGTATGTTTCGGAAGCTTAAAGGTAGATCCTGATTAAGTATATAGGAACTATCGATGAAAAGCAAAAGTCACGTCATTTGTTTGAAGTGAAAAGACGATTAAAAATTTCAGCTCGACAACAAATTTCAATAAACAATTGCTAGTTTAAAACTAGCTACGATATAATTGTGAGAACCGAGGGGATAGAGCCATGAGTTCGACCCTTCTTACCGGCTTCGCGTCAGGAGATGGCCTACGTTGTAAACGAGTGGGAGGGTCAGCGAGGTCGTGATAAGGTTTCGGCCGTAGTCAAGGATGGCATGTATTTAAACATGCGAATAATATATTTATTAACCAACTAAGATTATACAAGTACAAAACGACAGATACACTAATCGTTTATAAAGATAAACAATGCTACTAGTGCGACGGTTTCGATTCAGTCTCATCAATACGTCTCGCGGGTTTCGGTCCGACAGGGTTAAATTAAAGTGCTATCTCGAGAATCGTCTAACTCAGTGTTTCTCAACGGGGGCGATATCGCCCCCATGTGGGCGTTTTTCCATGTTGAGAAGGCGATTAGTAACAATTTATATTTTGGGGGCGAAAAACAATTTTCTGGGCGATATAGTAAAACATTATATTAAGAATAATTAGATATTTTATTTGTTATATCGTACAATAATTAAACAAATAACATTATACTAGTCACTAGTCTATTCAATGCAGTACGAATTTGGCGTTAGCCTTGGCCCTCGGCATCGAAATTTTGAAGTAAAGGGGGCGATACTACGTAACGGTTTTATTGAAGGGGGCGATACTACGTTGAAGGGGGCGACCATTCGTTAGAGGTTGAGAAACACTGGTGTAACTTATAAACTATCCCAACCGAGAGAAAGACGCGTTACTCTAATTCAGTGTTTTTCAACCTTCTTGAATACGCGACCCCTTTACAAGTGAAAAAAATTCTGGCGACCCCCAGGGCCATATTAAAACTATGTCAGTGATTTTAAAAACTACTTATTTAATTTTCTTTCTGTTGAGACCTAATTATCGATCGGAAAGCCAATTGTACTTTAAAAGAAACAGGCATAGCCTTCTCACTGAAATTGTAGTTTTTTTTTATTGTAGTGTAGGACCTACAAACTACTTGTCTTTTTTTTATACCCGCGACCCCCGTTTAAGGCTTTGCGACCCCTCTGGGGGTCGCTACCCACAGGTTGAAAAACATTGCTCTAATTAACCTAAAAACCCGAGAGAGAGAGAGAGCTTACAAACGTTCTACGAAAAAATACCGCTTAAATTTGTATTATAGTGTCTGTAATTATAACAGCATGAATGTACTATGATAATGTATTTATAATTACATTTTAATCATAAATTTTTTTGTGTAAATAATCTGGGTTTTTTCCCATCCAGACCCAAGTTTTTTTCATATGTCGTGAGTGGCAACATGGTCGTGAGTGGCAACATCGTCGTGAGCGTCGAAGTGATCCCGCTTAGCAGTGAGTCTCCGAGACATAGTCTTGTCACAAATACGGCTTTGCCGTTTTACTTGTTAATCATCGTTTCTGTTTAATTTAATAATTTCAACGTTCTAGATGTTATTTTTATGAAATATATTTTTTTAGAATTAATATGCTAAAGTTTTTCAATCTTAAGAGATTTTATATTTTTCATCTCCCTAGGAACAGAATTCCCTTTATATTATGCAATTGTATTTTTCGGCCTTCGAACATTTGACTTTCATTTACATTTTTAGAAATGAATTACATGTACAGTATATCCGAAAGTTGGGAACTGTCTATATCAGGATATATTAGACATTTAATATGAAAATATACCTATTTTTTATTTTGGATTTATGTACGTAGGTGATTATATTATATATATAATAATATTTACATGACTGCATTTATAAATATAGATAGGTATGAAAAATTTATTGTATTATTTACAATATATCAAGATGTTCAAGAATAAATTTATTATACGGAAGTTTATCTAATTATATTGTATTTTATAATATAGTAATTATATAATATTGTATTTATAATATAGTTGTAGTTCCAGTGAATGACCTGATGGCGAAGGTGGTTTTCGCTCTAGTTGGTTCAGTCTATCGTTCTAGTGGATTGGAATCGAATCCAATCCACTAGATCCACTAGGGAAGACAAAAAACCTCAGGAATATTTCATGGGCGGTCTGTCCAGGATATGTCGACTCCCATCCCTCACCACTCGTTTCTATTATTAGTCTAAGCCTGGTCTAAGCAAACCACGATGAGCAAAGAATAAAGACCCTCTTAGTGTCTATACAGTGGAAAGTGTCAAAAATGAATATATTATTTTCGTGTAGCCTATTTTATAATAATCTGCGTATCGAATAGTTTCGAATGGAGAAATGTATTGATAGTAAAACAATTAAATTTGTTACTTTAAAAAAGAGGGTATCTGGAATCACTTCTTTACATTTATATACTCAAGTAATAAATTCCTAAAAAGATGGATGTGAAAGACAAATCCTTCTAGTAGAGGTGTAGAGGCGAGAAAATTTCACGTCTTCGGCAAAACTTAAAAAGTTCCTTTATACATACATGAAAAGTAAAACGCTTCTTGATATGTATAGGTATATATATCAAATTTTCCAGGTGTATATATAAAATTTTATAGGTATATATATATATATATATATATTAAACTGTTTTCTAGATTAAATACAATTATTGTTGATTTAATAAATAAAATAAAAAGTATTGATACTGTCGATTAATTAGCACCTATGGACGAGGCCATATTAGTCACATATTTGCTATGTCGCTGCCTTTTCCTGTAGTGCAAATTAGAATCAAATCAAATTTTCTTATGGAATAATACGAAGAATATATAAAGAAGTTGTGTAAATAATACGCATTTTTATGTGGAATAATGTTGGGTATATGCAAAGAAAATAAATATGTATACGACAATATCAAATTGAGTGTATAAAATTGAGTCAATAAAAGATTTTCTAATTAGGTGATAATTCCATTACTTACTGATATAATAAGTCTGGTATTACACGCGGATAGTAATAACCGTTAATGAAACTGAAAACGTAATTTTATGTGTATTTTAATTTATTGAAGCATTGGTGTATAATTAATACGCAAATAATGACTTAGTAAATACAGTATTTTGTTTAAGAGTAACTGTGTACTCTTCTCACATACATTAACAATATATTCATAAAATAAAATAATGATGAAAAATATAATTGTATTTCATATTAACATGATAATATAGAAATATAAGAGTCCAAAATAAAATTTTTATTATCCTTTATATTAGAGACGAAGATCATATAAGATTTTAAATTCAACCATAGTTTTGCTTTCTATTGTTTTTCTTGATTATAAAACATTAATTTTGAACTGCTGATAAATTGAAAATCATTCCAGATTTCTGGCAACAAAATCCAATACTATCCTCTCGTATTGATCTGGATAATATCTGTAGTGGCATACGTGAGGAGTCTGATCCCATCTGTAAAAATCGACAATGACGTCTCTGTCCTTGCGATGCGCTATAAAGTTTTGTATGCTCTTAAAATCGCACACATCGTCATCTCTTGAAAACAGGAAAAGCTGAGGACAGATATTTGGTTCGTGTATTAAACTGTGCCAAACGCTTTGCCTTCGTAAAGTTTCTTCATTGTCTATGAAATAACTTAGAATCCAGTTGTAAAGATATATTACATGTAAACGTAAAAAGATGGCAATCGCAAGAATATATCTCGTATAGGCTTCAGTTGGAATCATTGTCGATAACATACGGCACACATAAGATAATTTAACTTCTGCCGGACCACTATCAAAAATACATCCTCTGATCTAAAACATTTAAACATTTTAAGTATAAATTAAGATAATTAATAATGTAATGTTATTCATTTGAACACTTACGTTGTATATTTCGTTTCTTTTTAATAAAACTTCTCTAATGAGATCGTACATTAAAGCTCCTCCATTACTGAAGCAATGAAAAAATAACGGTTTTTCAATCAGTTCCATTTCTTCCAGCAAATTCACGATTTTCTTGGCGTTAGTTGTTAATATTTTCCGAGAGTTTGTAGAAATTAACATATCCGATGGTCCGATATACATTAAGGTGGTACAGCTATATTAAATAAAAAGAATTATTAAATAATTTCTATTTTCAAGTAAAACTTGATCAAAAACCAAACATCATAATTAATTAATATACTGCAAGCAAGAATTTTAGAATCTTACCCTTGTTTTCCATAGATAGAACTGTATTTGGAGAGATGACGCTCTTTGCATCCTCCCCAGCCAAGCAAAACGACAACTGGTTCTTCTTGAAGGATTATATCATATTTAGCTTTAAATTTTTTGCTAGTTGGACTGGAATCTACATTAGAGAATGCAACACTGCTGGAAAATCGCGCATCATATTTGGAACTATCTGCCATCTTGATAAATTGATTCAACAAGACAAATTATTGTTTCATAAACAATGTTATTCATAACAATTTTATGCGAATAATAAACTTGTATACAGTACTTATGTTACATAAATATTCATTGTTGCGTTTATTAAATAAAAGTTATATTTACAAAATTTAAAGGCGAGTAAAGTAAAAAGAAATAATGAATGTCTTATGAAAAATTAAATTAAAGTTATCCTACATTTTAATTTTATATAAGTATAATTTGAGTTAAGTAATTTAGTATTTTATATTTTTCTGACAAAAGGCTTCTGTAAAAATATAAATACCCTTAATAAATATAGGCCTGACAGAACATGAAAATAAATGTGAATGAAATAATGATGATCTAAATTTAAGTGGATTTACATGCAAATATACGATATATTAAAAGAATCAGACATTTTAAAGTTGATGAAGTTGAAAAATTATCAGTAATTCCTAGCGATATTTAGAAAAGTAAGTAATTACACATATTGAAACATTGAGATAACCTTTAGAAAGTTAAAAGAAATCTAGCAACGAGTCGCGTAACTTTCCCGGCTGTTATAAGATTTTATTTAAAAAACTTTCTAAATTATTATAAAATGGCGAAAGACTTAATTTTGAGGGTAGAAATGAGTTTTATTATTATTTTTTTAAATTGTAAATGCTAATTACAAGTGAAATCTTCATTAAGTCCGACCCCACGCGAGACCACTCACAACCACCCTCTGTCTTTTCATACCCTCCATCCTTCACAACCAAAATGTAATAGCATTAATGCCCCTTATATACATGCTACCGTGTCAAATTTTATTTTCTAATCTTTATCCCATTCTGTGATATTTTAAACGAAATTGATGCCAACGCAAATACACATACACACCTATCCATGGAATTTTTTTGCCTTTTTTTGTGTAGGTGGTCTCAAAACGTGGAAATTGCAAAAATTTGAAGGATAAAATTTGACAATTCTGATACTTTTCCTTGTTAATCCCTGGAAAAGTAAAACGTCTAAGAACTTACCCCTTCGTTGCTAGATCGTTTTTACATCTACTGTATTTCGTTTACAGTATGAAAAATAATATATTTAAAATGTATGTGAATAAAATTACAAAAAGAAGTACAAAAACAAAAACAACAAAAACGAGATAGAAAATATTTTTATTGAATGAATATCCAAGCAAAAAGTTAGAACAATGGTTAAATAAAATAAATAGCAAAAAAGAAAACAGAAAAAACTCCAGCAACGAGTTGCTTAATTAACTTTCCCGGCAACATATAAAACTGCGTGTGTGGCGCCATCTGTTATGATATTCTATTTTAAAAACGTTTTATATTTTAAATTATTATAAAATGGCAAAATTTTGAGCTTACGAACAGATTTTATAAAATTTGTAATTGCTAATAACGAGTAAAATCGTTATCAGCGATTACAGACTCTACTCCAGATATGACATACGACCCGCTTTATTTCTCAACCCCTTGACCTTTAAGCACCAAAGTTTAATAGCATCAATGCCTTAATTAATACGTAAACCTCCCTGCAAAATTTCAGGTATTTTTGACTAAAAGCACAGGAGTTATTTAAACTTAAAGAGTGTAAACAAAATCGTGCCCCCACACACACGAACGTCCATATATACAAGAAATAACCAGAATTTTTTTAGCGTTTAAAAGTCCTCTGAGTAAAAATTTGCAAAAATATTGGGGTGTACTACGAGATGTGAAATAATAAGAAAATCACTTAAAACAGTTAAAGAACGAAAAAAATACGTTTAAAAGACAACTTTTTAAATATATAAATATAATAAAACAAGTAAAAACTAAAATCAATGATAATCGTGGGAAAGAAATACATCCGACATGAAATAATTATATTTCTAGAGAGCGTTTAAATAATAATACTACTACTGTATTTGAACACGACAACGGCAAAAAAATAAAAGGAAGAAAAAAGTACACCCAATGTCACAAGAGTAAAATAATACAGAAAAAAGATAAAGGAGATAAAAAGAAATAAAAAGTAAGAAATTAAAATAGATATAATTTATAATTAATTAATTAAAAAATAAAGTAATTTTAATCAGGCTAAAAAAGTGAAAAATTAAAAAGACCAAACAACGTATATTTGTGTTTTATCCTTCAGAAAAGTGGAAAAAACTTGAAGACTTACGCATAAGTTAGAAGTCGTCTAAAGTATATTAAATACTGTATACAATTACGGTTTAAGATATAATTTTTAATAATTTTTAGTGTATAAATTAAAAGAGCTTTATTGTATTTTACAAATACTGTATATAACTAATAAAACACTTACTGATGAGGGACGAAAAGGTCTGAAATACAAGAAAATTTTGTATACAGCTTCAAATAAAAGTTTATTCACTTGAACCAAGAAATTTATTCAATTACTCTAATTTTAGCCGCAAGTTAAATCAGTATAATTAACTTCTATTAATAGATTATAGTCACAATATATTAACAATAATAAAATTAAAAAGAAAGCCAAATTAATATCAAAAGTAAAGATCACAACTTATACCAGTATTTTAGAAATAAAATTTTGTGTAATTAATTGATCAATATTTATTTTTTTCTGAAGAAATGTATTACAGTTCCGTTGAAAAAATTTCAATTATAAAAATAAGGATATCCTTATCATATATTAATATACTATGTATAAAATTAAATGAAGCATAGTATAATCCTTACTCACTCTATATATTTATTCTTTATTTCATAATCCCATTTTTCCTACTTAAAAATGAATCTACTGTTTTCAGATGAAAACACTATATATATATAACATGAATATTTTATAAAATATGCATAAAATTAACATTTCTCTGTCATTTCTTATTTAGTTCACAGCTTCATTTTGAAATATAAATAATTAAAAGATCATACTTCTGATAAATTTGATAAATGGACTATCGTTAAAATAAATCTTTATCAAAATATTTCACTCAAAAATTAAATTTTCTATTTCATTTCTGAGAATTTTAAATTATTTTATGATTTGTAAACATTTTCCAGTCGTTTACCTTCACTGAAAATATTTTTAAAATTTTTAGGAAGTCGAAGTGCACATTGCAGGTAAAAAATGAATCTGGTGTTCTTGTGGAACAGACACATTATTAAATTTCTACTTTGGAAACAAATCAATGGTTTACTCGTTTAATGAGATGATGGTGTGATTACACATATGCGTATTGCTAATCACATAACTAGGCACCCTGTCTCTAGTTGTCCCCCGAGAGGACATTCGATTCATCTCATGTGTGAATAAAATGCGAGGGGTCATTTGGAGTCGTTAAAGTTAATTTTTATTATAATAAAAATATAATTATCTCTGAATTTCAGTAAAGTAAAACATAATTTTGAATTCTGATTTATGTTCGATAAAAATTAACAACTTCTATTTGATCTTTAATTTCATCCTATTTACAATTTATACTTTTAGTATTAGTATAGAATGGGGTCTGTGAATTAAGTCTAATTTTCAGAAAAGAAGCGATAAGCAGAAATCGTTATGGACCTCGCTGAACAAATTATTTTAGGACTCGCAAAATTTATACTTTACTTAGGGCATATAAGAAGACATCAAATGTCCGAGGTCCGATATACTGTATTGCCTACCCTCAGCTAACTTGTCTTGGTTTATTTTGATGGGATACGCAAACGCAATACCTGGGCGATTTGCCAAAAACGGCGTTTCTCGAGATTTTCTATAGTAAACTCGAACTGGTCCCTATTCATGTGTTACACATGTGAAAAAGTTTGAAAAACTCCACATTGCCAGCCAGTTAGTGAGGCTCAAATATTGCGACCTAATACCACGGTTCATTGGTTTTATCCACTCGGTCATTGGTTTGCGATTCGTAACTGAAATCATGGTTCATAAATCATAATCAATTCAATTCGAGATCATTAGACAATTATATTAAATAAAGTCATAAGGTTAAGAATTAAATCTGATTTAAAAAACAGTCGATTGTAAAATATTTATGAAGCGTTATAAAACGAATGCGCTTGTAAAAAAACACTTGTTATATCCGCTTCAGATAATTATATCCTTTTCAAAATTATTAGCAGTCATCTGGAAAAAATCCATTTTTATCATTAAAAAGTAATCTAGAAAATAATTTTGAATTCTTTTTTTTCAAAACCGATATTTTCGATTGAGAAAAATAAATTTTATAATTTTGTAATTTTAAAAATGCGTTAATATCTTGTTATTCCAAGTTGATAGTTAACGGTTTCTCAGCGTATATTTTATACGTAAAATTTTTATTAGCGTTATCGTTTTCTTAAATTATAAATCAAGAAATAAATTATTTTAACAGAAGCAATATATGCATGAATATAATTATTGACGTACTAGCTGGGGTACCCGGCTTCGCTCAGGGAGTTGATATGAGATTGTGTGGTAGTTGGAATAAAAGGATAAACTTTAAAATATAAGAGGTAATCTTATAATAAAAGGCTTGCTTTTGCAGTCTTTTATTATAAAATTGTGTCGCAATTCTTGATTCTTCAATTCGTTCATTTCGTTGTTCTTCGGTTTCTAAGCTTCTCAAGGTGCTCATTCTCGTTCGTTGGGAACGTAAACGTGCCTCGCGCTTTTCGACTTTTTCGTTTCTCCGCTGTTCTTTTTGTTTTCGCCGTTTTGCTTCAGAACTGGCAAGAGCTCCTCCTCTTTTAAGTTTGGGCATTGTATAAAATATAAATCAAATCAACTTTTTATTAACAAAGACTGTACACTAAGTACACTTTACACAGTTTTTACACTTTATTTTCTATTTACTCAATATATTAAGTCACTGTATCACTTTGACTACTCACACTTCACTGTTTATTTTTATTTACTCACTGCACTACTTTGGAATTTTCACTTCTTTTTCGGTTCTTCTCTTCGTCTCTGATAAGAAACTGACATTCGAACCCACGACGGATCTTGCTTTATATACCCCACCAATGAGTAGTCCCACCCATAGAAAAAAGGGTTCGAATGGTCCACAATGTTCCAGAACATTCCACATCATTCGAGTGTTCTGGAATGCTCCACAATGATCTGGGATGTTCTGGGTTGTTCCCGAACGTTCTAGAACATCCCGGAACATTCTGGAATGTTGTGGAATGCTCTCGAATGTTTTGGACTGTTCTAGAAATTTCTAGAGGGAGAAACTTCCAGCCCTTATATCTTCAACAGCACGCCCTTCAGGTAAAAACGGGAACCTTCTTCATGGATGGGGGATAGAGGACTACCACACCATATNGAGTAGTCAAAGTGATACAGTGACTGAATATATTGAGTAAATAGAAAATAAAGTGTGAAAACTGTGTAAAGTGTACTTAGTGTACAGTCTTTGTTAATAAAAAGTTGATTTGATTTATATTTTATACAATGCCCAAACTTAAAAGAGGAGGAGCTCTTGCCAGTTCTGAAGCAAATTAAAATTAATATACAGACAACTATATTTTATCTGTATTAATATATAATTAATACAGTTAAAAGACAAAACAAATTTAACAACCTGCTAACTTCACGGTTATAAAGGTTCGAGTTGTGCCATAGAATTTCAGAAATTATATTATTTTTCAAATTTTAATACAACGATTGATTTATAAATGAATTTTCCATTTTTATAAAATTATTTTGGGAAGAATAATTTGGCCGATTTTAAAAAGTGTCGAAAAATTATTTATTTTAATCGCGAATATTTATTTATGTTTCAACATAATCATCAAAGTTACATCTTTCTAAATGTTCAGTTCCATGCATGAGGAATTTTTCTGATTGTTCCCTGATCCATTCATATATGGCAGATAGAGAGCTTTGGCATTTGTTAACCTCGTCAAAATTAAACATTCGTCAATGCGAATTTTTAATTTTGGGAACAACTAAAAGTGAAATGCTGAAATATCTGGGCTGTAAACAGAATACGAAACAACCCGAAACTTCAGGTTCTTAAATGTCTACGTTGTTTCTTCATTGCACTACGGAATTGCATACTTCAATGAGGAAACACTATAATGCGAGAGAAAGTTGTTTTCGGCAGAACGCTTTTCTTGAGTATCTCTTAAGATGGTAATTTCGATAAGCGAACAATCTTCCAAAAACAAAATTCAGCGACTGATCACAGTTCTATCTGGAGTGGAGACGACGAGTTCATGTAAAGTCCATTGTTACGCAATGGCACAAAACAATAAACCAAAATTTCGCCTATATACACTAGATAAGCTGGCGTTTCTCAACTATGAGTAGCGTTAAGTCTTCAATGAATTGCGTGTGATAGTATCGAGTGATCATTACGTCTCCACCAGATTAAATATTCAAAGATTTTTAAACCGTGTTTAGAATAACAAACGGTCTTTATCGGATAAACTCCATTTTTATCGCGTATGCTTGAAGACTAGTCAAATGCAATCAACACAAATTCGCGTACTGTAAATACTACTACTACTGCTTTGTTCCAATTCGAGAATTTATTAACATGATTATGTGTTGTCATTTCTACACAATAATAACAAAGTTATTACAAAAAAAAATTTCTCTCATTAATTTATTTAATATAAGCACAGTTTACACTTTTACTTAATTATCGAAAGCACATTTTGTAATGAATATACTAAAGAAAATATTTGAAAGTTAAAGTCTTAATAATTATCTAAGAGTCTTTCATTTAGTTTTTAGCCAGTTATTTTTAATATGTAGGGGAAGGTGGGGTAAGATGAGAACGTTAAGGTTTGAAAAGTCATACGATGGCAACCACTTTAATGAGAACAATAATTTTTTTATTTTCAGCAACTACAACATTTGGTAATATATAATATAGAATTTAATTTTTGAAAAACGTTTTTAAAAACAAGAAATTTTAATATTTTAAAATTATATGTAAATGCACCATCTTGCCCCATCCATGGGATAAGATAGAGATATTATTTTTATATACAAGAAGGACAAATTAAAATGGTTAAACTGTCGTTTTCTTTAATATTGGCACAAGAACAGTGTGCCCATTTATCTATCACAACTGCTATATTTAGCCCAACTCTCTGTAGATACAGAGTATAACCGTCCACAATAGAGGCATTCTGTGTCATTTGTCTTTTGTTTCTTGTTAGGCCTACCCTTGCTGAAGGGACCTGTTTGTCGTCTCTGCAGCAATAAAGTCTACCTCCGAAAATACTTCTTGATTCATAGGCCATATTCATGGTTAACCTGGGGCTAGACGGTACCCCATCTTGCCCCCAAAGTACACTTTTCATACTGACTGCAAACACAGGTAAACTTCATTTCAAAACTGAACAATTACAGTTTTAAAGGTTACTCCGAATACTATAATATCTTTATCTAAAAGGTAATGCAAAAGTTCACAATGACACTTATTTTGTAGAAACTTTTTAGCAGGCGTAAAATTAGATGAAGTATTGCTGAAACATGAAAAACGGGGTCTTACTTCCAAACAAACAGAGCGATTTGAACGTTCTCTCGCTCCATGGTCCCTTTCGAGGTAGACATTAGTTCCCCAAATAACAGCTAGATAAAAGCACATTAACAACAAATAAACAGACGTCCTCGTCTTACCCCATGACCCCATCTTACACCACCTTCCCCTAATTAACGAATCTTACATATTTAAATATCGTGAAATCGGCTATTCGACGAAAATATATAATTTTTCATAATTATTTCAATGAATATCTTTAACAAATTTAAAATATTTGGACTGATTTAAGTGATAAAAATTAAAAATATTAAATAATATCTAATAATTTAGATAAATTTAGAAAAACTAATTTCAAATACATGTAAAACAGAATTATTTATTATATAGCAATATTTTTGATTTTATCTGTACAGTATTTTTATAATTTTTGAATCAAATTAATTTAGCTGTCAACTGTCATAGTATAATGACAGTTGACAGCAAATTGACAGTTGACATAGATCCGTTACGCATGTTAATACGTAACGGATCTACTGTCATACATTTACAATTTTTTTTTTCTATTTCTAAGTCATTTTATCGTTTTACATACATATAGAGTTTATACTATAAAAATCCAGAAGTACAAAATGTATATCAGAATCAAGCATTTTAGAGCATCTGTCTATTATAATTGTAAGTTTGTCTTTTGTGATTTTTAAATATATATTACTTTAAATTATTTTTTACTACATATATTACGTTTAATAGATTATTATCTATGAATCGGAAAATACGATACTTTTTAAAAAATTATGATTACACATAGACTATATTATAAATAAATTTTAATTTCATTATACAGCTTTAGAATCATTTTTTTTTTTTTTTTGTTTTTGTATAAACATTCTTTGTGTAACAATATATAATTCGAATATAATGTTTATAATGCATATATTAAATTTTCTTAACTAATTATATTATGTTAATTGTCTATCGTAATTCTGATAATACGTTATATACATTAACAAATTTATTTCGTGGCTTACTAGTATAAAACTGAACACTGGTCCAGTCCTACTGAAACACTGAGGTAGCAATTTTGACCTTTGACAACTAGCTAACTACATTGAATTTTTTGGGTTATCTTTACGTGTGTAACACTTAAATAAGAAGCAATTTACTATATAAAGTTTTCCCTTGAGGCACTCCTCTTAGCAGATCGCCCAAGTCTTATAACAGCTCTTATACAATTTCTTGCAGATAAGTCGAGCTCCGTCCCTCGCCGTTCAGCCCTTCCCATTGTAGGCCTGCATCATTCTCAATAGGTATGGAATAAAGGCCCTAGTAGTGCCCACAGGGCGAAAAAGGCAAAATGAGTAAAATTCGTTCAATTGGCAAAATGAGTAAATTTCATTTAATTATTTTGTAATTATTTTGAATGGCAATTAAATGAAATCGAATTAGAAACGAATAATTATATATTATAATTAAACGAAATTATAATAATTAATACAAAACATTATTTTTATTTGAAAATGAAAAAAGCAGGCATTTTACACTTAAATAGATTTATATTAATGTAACAGGTTGTTCGTTCTTATTAGATTTTCATTGTCATAAACGAGACTTTATCATTTCGAAATGACAATGCAAATTCCTTCGTTATTTAAATTAAAAATGAAAACAAAGTCAATGTTTCTAATACAAATTCATTTGATAGTATAATTTAAATTTTAATAATAAAATAATGACAAATTTTCCTTCTTAGAAGTATTAGCTTGTCTGTTTTAATATTAAATTTCACTTCTATTAAAATAAAATCGTTTACTCTCAAAAGAAAAAATTAACAAAAAATTTTGATCCAAATTTAGCAAACTTTAATATAAAATTTAAAAGTCGGGTTTATTTTTATTTATAGTTATTTATACAATTTGACAAAAATTAAACAATCACTATTGCACTCAATTTGATCGCCGATTCTCCAAAAACTTGTTGTGACATATAAAAATAAAAATAAATGAATAAATAAATTTAATTGTTTCTTCAAGAATGAAAAAGGAGATCTTAAAATAAACTAGTAGTTAAAATGTTTTTAATTTTTATACAGCAAATTAATGTGAATTGCATACACAATTTTACTAAATATTTATTATCTCCTTGATTATTTTATTTTATATCTTCATTGAAAAATTCTTATTGTGAAGAGTCTCGCTACTCGAATCTAGAATAATGAATGAGATTATTCCAAATAAAAATTTGATTTGCGAAGCTGTAACGTGCTAAATGACTGCTATTATAAATTTAAGTATTAAAAGAAATGTGAAAGCTTTTACATTAATTTCCTTAAAAATTTCATTAGATTTATTGATCAAATAATTTAATTAATTATTTATAATATAGTCTTATATCAGATATTTACTTTCTTTCTAACTTAATAATATGAATTTACTGTATATAAAAACAGTAAATTTAATACAATTTCCTGTTAACGTAAATGGAAACTATTAGTCAGAATTGCTAAAATATTTTTTTATTTTAATTCTAATTATTCATTAACACTTAATATCATAATTTCCTATAATCGCTTAATTTGCACAATTTCTTTAAATAAAGATGAAATTTTAGACATACACTACACTTTTATATGAGAATAGTAATATTATTAATTACTTAATAAATAATTTTACTTTTAATTCTGAAAATTTATATAATTGATCATTTGATTTATTTCAGCGATTTATATGAAAACAATAAAATTGGTATTCTTCAAAACAATATGGATATTATTGTTGTTTGTACTTCTAATTGGATTGATAATAGTGGTATTGATATTGTATTATTTCAAGATCACTAGTATTAGCGATTTTCATCGGAATATCGAAATCGCTTATATACGGAATTTCAGTGAATATTTTATTAATTCTAAAGAACAGCGAAAATTAAATGATTGGTTTCATATTATAGATCATTATTATGTATATTCAGCTTATTGGGAATATCGAAAACAACCTCCTTGTGTTCGAATTATTGCAATAGGCCCAACAAAGGAAATAAACCCATCCACCTTCTTTTGTCTTCTAAAATATGGCAATGGTTCTATTAATGCTTCTTATGTCACTTATAAAATGCTCCCTGAGAATCACGGACGACCACACGTATCATTCTTCTTCTATTGCGAAACATCCGAGATTCCCGTAGAAGCGGCATTAGTACATTATAAACAAAATACCACTCATTGGATTAAAGTGGGCCTCACCGAACCTGAAGATAATGACAAAAATTGGAGAAACAATATTGTTGTATGCGTGAAACCCACCTTTGGAGAATTTCCTAATAATAATCTTCGAATAGCCGAGTTCGTTGCGTATTATCAACTTATGGGTGCGCAACATATTGCATTTTACGATTATAAAGCAAATAAATCTGTTAAAGTATTGATAAATGCTTTGATTGATGCGGGTGCCCCTATAAGTTTGTTTCCGTGGACTTTTCCTCGAGATATAAATGATGCATGGGATAAAGCTCATATGGCAAACGTTGCCGACTGTATGTATCGCTATGCAAGAACGCATCAATATGTTGTTACTGTAGATATAGATGAATTTATTGTTCCTAAGCAGAATATTTCGCTATTGAAAATAATAAATGAACACAAATTTCCTTGGGGTACTCTCATGTTTCGCAATGCATTTTTTTCATTAAATATTCCAGATGATCCAGAAACCGCGAATGAAACGATTCCATTATTGACATTAAAGAAAACAGCATACGTTCAATTATGGCCAGCGTATCAGAGATCGAAGTGTATAATTGTGCCTACTAAAGTTGAAATTCCAGGAATTCATTACACTTGGTCTGCTATGAAAGGTTGGGGAACGATTATTGTGAATCCGAACTTTGCTAAAATGCATCATTATCGTAAATTGGAAACTAAGTTTAAAACTTTTACTCGTGATCAAACAGCTTGGAGATATTCAAATTCAATTCTAAAATCAGATGCAATAAAGACTTGGAAACGTTTATTTGTTTAAAAATTTCGTAAGTTTTTAATTCAATAAATTTTGTTTAAGAACGTGAAAAAGATTAAACCTTTGTTTTCAATTTCATTGCGTCTTTTTCCGAGAAACGACGGTATGAAACAATCAGGAAATTTACTGAGTTAACATGGAAGAGAAAGGTCGTAGACAAACATATTTGGAAGGGTCTTGGAATAAATCGAAAACTGTCAGTGATGATGATGGTAAATGAATTTTCAATTATAATTATATGAAATGTAGTATTCAAGCGTATATTTGTTATATTTGTCTATTTTGGTGTGGTCTTTATCTTGTTCAATATTTATTTCTATATGTCATAATTTATGATATTGAGTTTATCAGGGAAATAATTTTATTTACAACAGTTCACTTAAAGACGGCATTTTAGAAACCGATTAAATCGTAAAAGCTAGAGTCTACAGTAATTTTAAAATATCAATAATATTTATCAAAAAATGTTCATATGTATAAAACTTATATTACTTATTTTTATTTAATATTTTTGTCCCTTTTTTATATAAAAAGTGATTCGGTTTATCCGGAGATTCTGATGTCACAATAAAATATGTGTTGGAAAAGCTTAATTATTATAAAAAAAAAATTATATAATATTATGCATTATGTGAATGTAATTGATAGATGAAAATTTTAAATAAGAATTTCTAAAAATAAAAAAATTCCTAATAATATACAATTGAATACTTTCATGATTTTTTGTTCAAATTTTAAAATTTTTAACAAATTTAATTTTGCCGTATATATTCTTTTAAATAAGTATTTGTAAATATTATACTATATTATTTGACATTTCACAATAAAAGACACTTAATGATTTATTATCTTATTTTTAAATATGACATAGAATTTGCAACTGAATAAAAATGAGTTCATATACAGGACTCTAATGAGCGAAATGGTTCTAGCTGATAGAAAACTTTAAATACGGAAAAGTATCCCATACACTTTTTGATTCGGTCTTGGTTTCGAGTTATGTACAAGAACTCAATTTTGTAAGATATTATTTTTTTAATCTCACCGGTTCTAATTTCTTTTTATTTTTTATTATTTTTTATTTTTTTCCGTTGAATGAAGGCGTATTTTTTGTTTTAAATCGATTTTTTTAAAACTTTGAAAACATGGATTTTTATTAGTGAGGTCTTGTACGGGTCTTAGGAAGGTCTAAAACTAAAACGCGACCATTAATTATTAACTAACCGCTTAACTAACGAAGTTGAACTGCATTTTAAAATTTTCGTGACCGTAAAACTTAGGTCAGGGGTTATAATTTCAATTGGTAGGACATAAAGCTTTATTATCGCAATAGATTACACGTACTTGTGTACTACCAATTTTGAAAATTTGACCCGAACCCACGATATTTAAAATATAACGACATTTATCCAGCAATCATTTAAATCGAATAAATTAAGGTCTACTCTATATAAAACATAATTATTTCAATATTTCTATATTTTCGTGTATTTTAATAGCATACTTAATATAAAATATATTACACATAACCTAAACCTAGAGGACTTTTTTTTCTTTATCTATAATGTGCTATCAATTATGAGAACTTCCGTAATGCAAAATAACAAAATTTTAAGGTAAGCTGCAAAGTAGCTCAATTCCTGAATGACAGATTAAATGAAAAAATTCTCTTCAAATACAACACTTCGATATCATTTCGTGTACAGTACGATTCAAACTCTATAGTCATTGAATTGCTCTGAATTTTCTAAATTCTTCTGATTTCTTATATTTATACTTACATAAAGAGATATTGCAAGTTTAAACTTCAAATTACGTCCTTAGAAGAACACAAATTACATTTTTGGAAGAAAAGAAGCAAAATAAAATAATTTATGTGATATTCTACACAAAATCCACTTAAAGTGTAGTAAAAGTTTTTGTTTTGTGATTAAAATAAGTGAAGAAAAGCAAATTTATGTAGTAATTAAATTCATAAATTATTTAAAATAATCTAAAACACAGTTATTTCGAACTGATCGTTTGTCTTTGTTTTCCATTAGCTCTTCATGTGTTCATATAAATTCATGTTTCCATTAATTTTTTATGAATGTCGTTTTAACTTCTTCAAGAATGTATTACTTCTCCAGTTTTCATTAATTATTCAATTATAAAAATCAAAGAAGAAACTTTTTACAGTTATTCTTAAAGTAGAATAAATAAACAGAGATTTTATACCACTTACCAAAGAAAACTTTAATTTATGTCAATCGTATCAATTTTAGATTAAAAAATAAATAAAAAGTTAAATTTTGAGGTTTTTTTAGGTATTCTGAATGGGGCCAAATGGCCCTATTGTCCTTCCTCCTTTTGTATTTGTCAGTATGCTGTATATTATAGTCACGTAATCACGAGAAATGCATATATAAATTAAAATTATTATAGAAAGAATAGTGGTAAGAATACATAAATAAAAGATCTTGTACGAATTGAAAACATCTTTAAATTTAATTAAATTCAGTCGTGCAGCACAAAGAGATAAACTGGGAAATTCTGTCATGATCTCAATATCTATACACATTCAACGATAAGTCAGTTACCAGTATAAATGAGAAAAACTGTATAAATAATTCATAGAGATTTATATTACGTTTATAAACATTTATATTTATTCTGTTTAAATTTTTATTTTAGAAAACTTTAAGAAAACAATGAAAGATATAAAGAGGTCATTTGAGAGATTGAGTAAATGTAAATTGATCCGTTTTTATTAGTTTAGAATGCAGAATAATAGATATTTCAAAATATTATATGATTAGTACGGATGAATTAATACATTTTATTTAAAGTATAAATGTTAAAATTTTCATTTTCTATCTGGTTACTTATAATGCTTTTCTTTTGTTATTTTCTTATAACAATTTTTATTTTACATTTAAAATATTAAATTAAAATTTATACAATAAAAGTAATTAGTAATATTTATTAGTTTGCAGTTGTAAATTAAAATTATTAAAATATAACATTAAAAAATGTATAGTTCTAATTATCACCATAAGATGGCAGTAATATATAATTCGTAATAGAATCTTGAGATATATTGAGTAGCGCATTCAAGAATGATGTCGCCATATTTGATCCTTTTACTATATATTATTTACAGTACTTTCTTTAGTATAGATATTTTCTTATTTTTTTTTTATTCTATTTTATACAACAATTGGGACGTTTTATTAATATAAAGTTACTCAACAATATAATATATAGAGCGAATAAAATAGTTTAGAACTGGACTAAATATGGCAGATATTAGAACATGTCAACTGTTAGAACGCGAATACTGAAGGCTAATTCGTTATGTATATAAGAAATCGATTATTATATTTATTTAATATTATAAAGTAATAGAAGCAAATGTTTGTTTGATATTTTGCTTAAGTTTAGTTTTATGATGACTAACTGAGAAAAGAAAAAATTGGTTTTATGACAGAAGGACAAGTTTGTTGCCCGGTAATAATCAATCGATAGGTTAAGTGTAAATGGTGAAGTTTGTTCTTTCTATACTGCCCGTTCCTTGCTCGAGTGTAATGGCCTCTCTGCAGGTTTTTGAACTTGATTAAAAAGAATCTATTGTGAAATTAAAATAAAATTGCCAGCGTCTATCTAATAGAAAATTATTCACTAAACCCAACTTAATTTCTCGTAACGCCCAGTTAAACTTTTAACTTGTTTAAACGCTATTAATTCTTATATAAATAAGGATACAGTTTTAATTAAAGTTAAATTTAAATTATGTAGGATTATTTTTAAAAAACCACAACCTACCATCCATAGACGATGCTTCTTCCTTTCGAGAGCGCCCCGAGGCATCCATCCCATTGCTTGTCCCCCTCCTCCTCTTGCCATAATGTCATCAATTATGTTCGTGTTGTATTCTCTTAATACTTGGACGAGTTGTAGTCTGAATGTTGGTACAGTAATTAATTACATCTTCTACGCTTGTAGACCTGATTAATCTTGACATAGCACCACTATTACACACGGAAATAACTCGCGTCTTCCCATTACCAATACATAGCTATACTGTGTTTTAAATTCTAATTTTGATCTAATTGTCATCAACAAATAAAAGTGGACGATTTCTTATCCATTAAATATTTCTAACAAGTTAATTTGGCAGCAAAATTTTGGCGAGTGTGCTTTTCTGATGAGACCTTTATAAACTGACAATAGAACAGATTCTAATAACTAAAAAACAAATCTATGGGAGGTCCTCTTGGCTGAATAATGTAAAACTGGCCAAATATATGTGATTAAAGATGAGAATTTATGGAGTCTTCTCTGTGGGGATGGTGCAATCCGTATCCCAGTAATCAACCGGGCTAAATTCCCAAAATAAATTTTTATAAACTAAAGCTGTAGAAATGATTAGGAGCATGAAAAATGAAGACGTCGCATATTTGGCGTGATACTTGTTAAGCATGTGATTTAATGTAAGGAATTTAATTGAAAATGAGAAGATACAAACAGAACGTATCTCGAGGTGTGCCCCTAGCCATTTTTCAATGACAGACTTACAGTGAGATAGTCTCACCCATTCAATTCAACGGACCTAAAACAAGCTAGATGTATCAAATTGTGGGCATAGAAGGGATGAAGAACTCTTCTCTACAGGAGATAAATTGAACAGTTTATCAAATGGTGTCTAGTTAGACGTCCATTTATTTGTACATGACTCTAAGACGAATGTCATTTAATGCTTCATATCGGCTTAAGAAATAAAGTTTCGAATTTTATTTTTAATAATTATTATATATAAGTTACTCAAAAACTATATTATTAATAATATAAATATTTTACAATTTTAAAACTTTTTATATATTTTTTAATTTAATATATTTTTAAAAAATCGATGATATATTAGCTATATTTTATTATTTGTCCATTTAAACAAAGTTCGGGAGTAAACTAATGTTTTATGTAAAATTTATAAAAATTCAATCTTAAAACTTAATACATAAAATATTTAATAAATTAGAAAATGGCATATTAAACTAAACGATTTATTAAATAAGTGATAATCAATTTTATTTAACGCAATATTTTTAGTTGTTTACACTTAAACGTATCAAAGACGACCTGTATGGTTAAAGAGTGCATTAACCTCTACTATGTCTGTATCCCACAAGCTATAAAGTGGATATTCAAGATACAGAGAACTACTAGATCAGCCAGTTAAGATTAAAAACTTTTACGAAGGAGGCTACCTGTTGATCCAACAACTACTAGTCTGCTTGCGCTTTCCACCACCTACAACTTTATTCGCCTACACGATACTCTAGTCATTGAACCAAGCACCTTTCCTCTTTTTCATTAAACCGTCCTCGTTTCAGATGTCTGACGTCTTTTATATAATAAAATCAAAATTTTTGGTGTATTTTACCTCAATTTTAAGTAATATTTAAGTAGTTATAATCGTAGATCGTTTAATAAAATTAATTTTTAAAAATTATTCTATTTAATAAAGATAAATTTTTTAAAACGTGTCGAACAAGATGAAAGATTTAGAGAGAAACGGGAAGCAGCGATTCATTTAGCCGATTTAGAAACGAAACTATCCAGCGATGACGTCAGACGAAATATTAAAAGGCGCTTCAATCAGAGCATTGTTGTACGTAGCACAGGCTAAGCGAGCAGACGATGTCAAACTGCCCCAACCGGAAACAGTCTCGACACCAGGCAGATTTTTTCTTCCTCTCTCGGTACTTCACTCGCGCCACTAACACCACCTAGCGGACGGGCACGGAGGTGTGTGGGGGCGAAACTGTATCAGACAATAACAAACAGCCCATGTGTTTGCAATGCCGGTGAGCTGTGACAGGTAAGTACGTGTTGCTGCTCGACTGGAATTAAGCAGAAAGCCACTACCACCTCTCCACTCCGCGTCGGATTTACAACCCCAAAATTGGTGTTTGTGTGTGTGACAGTGACAAGTAGAGAATCGTCCAACCCTTCTCGGGGTACAAGTCGTTGTTTCATACATGTTCGTCATGGAACGTACACATATGCGTACCAAGCCTAAGGCATTGCCTGCACCACCGGCTAGACGCATTACCATGTCTGATTCTGCATCCGATGCCCGAGCAAAGACTATTTTGAAAGAAGCTGTCGATGCTGTCGTCAACAGTTTTGCCAAGCATACGCACGGATACGGTCGAGGTATGTTATTTACTCTTACTTAAGCATTTTACTTACCCTTTAATAAATGTGACATATCCAAATTATGGTTGAGCTATTTATTAGTTTACCAGGTCTTATTCCGTTTATGGAGACTAGACTTCATTTATTAACGGGGGCGCCGATGGGGTATCGTTTTTGAGCCAGAATGAGGATAGAAGAACCCACACACACTTTTATTTGGACCCACGTTTCCAAATTTAGTCTGTGTTTGCCTGCTCGATCGAAAAATATCCCTTGATCAACTGTTTATAAGGCCTAGCACGTGAATGAATGCCAAAGATTTTCTGCCATTTACGATCTAGAAGCGGCACGAAACCTTTACTAATTTCTCGAATATTAACGTTCGTTATTATATTTAATCAGATTAGAATTTTAAAATATTAATTTTAGAATAATTTAAAAGTTTTTAAACACGCTGTCGATCGAATAAAGATACACACAAGTCAATTGATAATGCAGTTCTTTCGTAGCAAGTAATTATCAATAACTTTCTATGAAAGAACTGCATTAATTCTATATCTTAACATTGTTCGAAACATTACTTTCGCGTTACATTGTCAAGGAAATTTATAAAAATTAGCATGTTACCTAGATTTTAGCAATTAATTATAAAAGTTTACGTTGTAGGCAAGAATTGTCACATACAAGGACAAATCGCAGAAAGTAGCAAGTCCTGTAAAAAAACATTAAAAAATTGTATTTCTTACAAGTTTCGTCATTACTTGGCCCCACCCTTATCATTAGCTGGCCCCCTCAGATTCCTAGATCTGGCCTTGTTCCTATATAAGTAAGGGATACGACAGCACTAAAACAGAGGGCCGTAGAAGGTTCATATTTGAATTAAAAAGCGGTCAGACATAAGATGATAGTAAATGTTAAGCTGATATCGTCCAAATTTTAAACAGAATTTTAAGAATTATGCAGATAGAAGCGCTTACTTACTTATTATCAATTACCAGTCATGTTTCTTAAAATGTCATGTATATATGGCTGTTACTCGCTGTTTTATGTCTTCATCGAAGTGTTACAATTGAACAAATCATATTGTGTTAAGATATACATAGATAGAATTTTTAAGCCTATAAAATAAACTATTATTCTGTCAAAATTTATAAAATTTAGAGCTATAATTCTGTCAAAACTATTTCTCTTTCAATACACAAACACAATCCAGAGAGTATTCTAAGTAAGGGAATTCTTCGGCAAATAAAAGAGTATCGCGTTACAGTTCCTCCTCGAACATGTCTGGACATTTTTCTTTCATCCAGTTGCTATTTTCTCGTTTTCCAATATTTGAAATATAATACTTATTTGAAAGTTTGTAAATGGGGGAAAAGAAAAGGAATCGTTCGTCACAATTGGGACAACGAACTCGTGCAAAAGTTTGCTCGCATTGTTTGGTGGTTGACAGTTTTTGTTATGATGAAAACATGAATGAGTATTGTGAAATTTTAAACAATTCAGTCTTTTTTTTACAATTTCAAAAAAATGAATTTACTTCTTGTTATGAAAATGTTGTTATACATTTTAAACAATTGGTTTTCTTAGAATGGGCTTAGATTTTGATACTTTTAGAATAATGTAACGGAAAGGATTTTAATGCTTTAGAAATGGAAAAAATTATAAAGATTTTGCCAGGTTTTAAATAGTAATAGAAACATTTTGATTTGTTTTTAAATGGTACCAGAAATATTTTAATGCTTTATAAATGGGCAAAGAAATATTAGATGAGAAAGACTTGGGCATTTTTTAAAATGGTAATAGAAGGATTTAGATTTTTTAAATTGATATCAGAAAGATTTTAATGTATTTAAAAATGAGCTCAGAAAGATTGTGTTTAGAAGTAAACTCGGAAGATTTTTACTTAAATCTTCTATTAGAGTTTTATTATCTTTAGATATAGGCCAAAAAGTACGCTTTGTAAATGTTGAGAATTGAGATAATTTTTGAGAAATTATCGAATTTAATTACTTCTCTTCTTAAATTGATTACATTTTTTACTTCTATAATCAGAAATATTCTAGAAGATAAATTTATCTATCGGATTGTATTAAATTTTTTATTGTTTTTAAAAATAATTTTTAAGTATTTAAGAAAGTTTAGATATTAGTAAAGTGAATTACATTGCAATGTTTCCAAATCTAGATGGTGCATTTGAGTGTGATATCATTGCATCAAATGCTGGTTTTTGTCTGTGCGAGGTACTATGTGGTAGAGAGGGGTGGAGAATGATGGATCACTTTCAAGACGAAACGTGGATAAGAATGCTTCAAGGTTCTCAGTGTCCTGTTGCTGTCTATACTTATTTTAGTCTATTTTTCTAATATATTTATTATTGTACAAAAGTATAATATATATATATATATATACAGTTTTGAGATATAACGCAGTTTTGAGATTTTGTGAAGCACAGGTTATAAGAACTTACAGAGTTAGTTATGCAAGAGGAGAGGTAGCAAACGTGTGAGTATACTACCATTAATAATTGCAATTAACTGCAGCTGCATACAATAGTTTTTTTTTCTATGTTGAGATCGAATGTTATCAAATATAATTGGTCTCGGAGGGGGAATATAGGGGTACTATTTATGCGACAGTCCCAACCGTGCATTCACCTCATGTCTCTTCTTTCCCGCGCATTTAAATGTTTTTTTACCTCTAATTTGTTTTTTGTAAGATAAGTACTTGTTGTTTTGTCAAGCTACGACTACCAGTAATTAAGGATAAGGAATATTTAAAAGAAATATTTAAATATTATACAGGAGATAAACTCCTTCCTCAACGTTACTTAGGCTGATCATATAAATATCGTATTACTAAAATTAGAAAAAAAAATATGTTATAAAGATCAGAACAAATGATGACAAAAATTTTTGAATTGATGAAATTGAAGAGGCTTGTAATTTAATTGCTGCTCCTTAATTTATATTTCACATGTGGCTAAATCTGAAGAGGGTTCTCCTGAACGATACTTCTCCCGCTGAACAACAAACTTTTATTCTCATCACTAAATATTCCTTTAAAAGAACAATGGAAAGTCTCAGCTACCATCTCATCCTATTGTCTTACCTTAATTACTACCTTCGTAAGAAAGAAGAAAAAAGAGAGAGAATTTTTATAACAAGATTTAATTCATTTAGATTAATTAAAATACTTCTTAAATTATCCCATGAGGAAAAATAGCCTCATAAATATTAGGTCGCTCGATATAGGCAATCTTGCATTATGTTAATCGGATTGGTGGAATCTCGCCCGTTGACATTCTCTAAAATGCCACACGTGAACGTTATGTCCAGTAAATTATGCGCTAACATGGCATAATGAATTTTACCTAAAGCTAAAGAGTTTAATATCTAGCAAAATATCGAAACCACTAATGCCACATGTTCAAGACAATAGCTTTTATTTAACAGACTCCCAGACTTGTCAACCATCATTTCAGTTTGAGTTTGACTCACCGATTCCAACCGGTTGCACGGTGAGTCAGAAAATTGAAATTTTTGGAATAGAGTCATGTTAAATATGTAAAATCATTAATTTTATAAATCAGGAAGTAGTCTTAAAAACAATAAAATTAACTATTGTAAATGATTGATATTCACTTTTCAGTGATTCAACTTTCCTTTGCAGATAGGAATTTTCAAATTTAAAATAATAATATATTCGATTTTACTTTTCTATATTTCGAGAAAATTAAAAATATTTTATTTCTCAAAAATCAACTGAAACTCGAGTAAAATAAACAAAATAGAGCCTCGGATCAACAGATGAAGACGTGGATTAAAAATCATTTTACATCGAAATCTAGTTAATGAAATAAATTTTAAAATAGTTTTATTTATTTATTTTTTAAATTTTTATAAAATATATTCGGTACAAGCCGGTATGATAAAGATCATTTTATATAAATTCCCAGTTTAAATCTGCGTATCAAAATGAAGAATTAAATGATCAGATATTCTTCGTAATGTATCTGGTTTTAAGTGATCGATCTTTAAAAATTTTTCTCGTTTTTTCTAAAAAAAAATTCTCGGTTAAGATAAACATGGTATGATTTAGTCAAAAATCAGACAAGAAAAACCTGTTTATTATGAGTCTTCGTGTTATAAATAGAAAGATTCCACATGATTGGAAAATAAATTCCCTAATTATAGGCTAAAATATTTTTAAACTCCACTTGTTAATACAAAATTAAATTCAAAATATTTTCTAACTAAAAACCATTATTTTCTTTGTAATTCTAGTAAAATAATTTTTTTTTTTTAAATTATTGAAATGTATTAAATATACACAGAGTCTTTCATGCAAGTGTTGTAACGGATTATAAATGATTGCAATTGTAAAACATAACTGATTGTAGTTATAAATATTTAAGGTTAAGAGGTTAAAAAAATCATGTTGATGTAGTGTAAAATTATGTATGTTCGTTTGTTAGTTTGTTCTTAAATAATATACGGTTGAAGTCCTGAAGGGTCTCATTGAGTGACGTCATTTGGGGCTTGTCTGATGTCTATCATCACTTTACTTAAACAAAGCGACGGAAGCGAAATTTAGTAGGAAAGTTAAGGTCAAAGGTTGCCCGAAATCCTCCGATATGTTTACTTTAACTGCCAATCCTACAGAATTTATATTGTAAAAGTGGAGGGGCGTTCATATTTCTTACTTCTTTCTTAGTATTTTTTCGAACGTTTACTAACATTTAAAAGCAAAAAGAAATGAATTAAAACGCCGTATAAATTTTTTACTTTGTAACTAAATGCTTCTTTTTATCTTAAATGTATTTTTATTTGTTTGTTTCTTAAAGTTTTCTGTCTTTTTAATTAATTAATTAAGGAAGAAAAAAAGGTAACTTAATTTATTAGGTTTCGGTTTAAATGTTGATTTAACAAACTTGTTGAAGATATAAAAATATTTGACGAGATTTCGAGGTATTCAGGTTATTTAGATAAGAAACAATCCGACCAATTTCTTATCTAAAT